ATCTCCTCCATGGACAATTAGGTTAGGTGAACTCAAGCATATTGGAGCTCACTACTCTAAGAGACGCCCAAGCCCCCCGTCTCCATAGACTCAGCTGAGTCTCTCGGTTTGTCGGGCTGGGTCGAGGCCTTTGGGTCGTCTATCTTCTATTCCCCTAAACTGTTACTAGTCGCCTCATTTGTGGGTGTATCCGATTGTAACTCGCCTTTCTCCATGTTCCATCCCTCTGGGTCATCCTCCATTTCATCTTCCGAAAGTAGACATCTTTGTGGAATCTGTCCATATCCACTGCCCATGCTCTTGACTCTAGGTCGCCATCTCCATCGAAGGTGTCATTGTTGATCAGCTCTGCTAAGGAGGCAGCCTGTAGCTCCGCTAGGATGCCCATCCCCGACAACACGTTGTAGGGGATGGCCATCACTGTGCTCCATGGCCGTCACCTCATCCCTCCCTTGAGTGTTGTACCTGTAGGCATCTTGGCTATGATAGCGGTGAATGACCTCAGGGATTTGGGGTCCGACTGATCCTTGTGGGACTCTACAGCCTGGCTGCTCTTCTATGTCAAGATGTTCCCCTTGTTGTTCCAAGACCAGCAACTCCTCCTGCTGAGCCATCTGGGACTCAATTTCAAATATCCCCAATGGGTAAACCGATGTGATCTTTTCTTGCAGAATGGTGGCCACATTTTGGCCTTCTTCAATCCTGGGGATTAAGAAAGCCACATTTGTGGCTACCTGCCACTCCTTTTTTTTGTCCATGTATCTTGCCGCGACTAGCAGTCTGGTGCCCATCAAAGTCAGCTTTGCAGATTGGGTCTGTCCCAGTAACTGGGGGGCCTTTCCCTCTGCAATGTGAGTGAGGGAAATGAATTCAGGTTCGTATGCTTTGTTCAGTTTTTTCAGCTTATCGGACCGGGCTTCCACCACCGCAATTTCTTGTTCCAGCTCAGTCTGGGCTGTTTTGCCTGAGGGGTCCCCTTCCTTTCCCTCCCTGTTGACACCTTTCTTCTTCTGATTTCTGCTGGTTCTCCATTTCTTCGGCCTCAAGTCCTGCAAGGTTTCTTTTGATTCCACTTGGGTGATGTCCGTGTTCATGAATCCTTGTTTTCTTGACCTCTTTTTCTTAGCATATCTGGGTGCTGCGTATTCCCTGAATTCCTCAACCTTTACCGGCAGGTCATACTGGTTGGAGGAGGTCTCGATTCCTGCTACTGTTCCCTGGTTTTGGTTGTGAGTTCTCTCCATGTGTTTTAGGCATGCAGTCCGGATGTCGAACAGGTGTTCGCGTTCTGCTTTGGAAATGTATTCTCTCAGCCATTGAAGGGATGTTTAGGTTGGGTTGTCCTCACCTGATTCCGAAGAGGGGTCCGAGGCTTTGGAGTTTCCGGTGGAATGGTCACTGTCCATATGGGTTCCCTTTGAAGGGGGCGGGGGGGTTGGTTGCTCACTTACCAATGGTTCCCCTGATCCCACATTGTTGTCCGAAGTGGTCCCTTTTCTCTTCTTGAGGTCCGGTTCAGCCCCTTCCTTCGTTCTTACCTCTTTCGTTATTCTCGTGTTGGCAACCGAAGTCTGTTTCCTGTTTTTGCTTGCTTCTTGTTTCAGTTCGTCTTCTTTACGATTGATGAAGACTTCGATTTTGGCCTGAATCCTTTGGGGCTGTTTCAAGTACTCTTCTTCAATTTGTTCCCGAACAGAGTCCAAATCCCACAACAGGTTTTCCCTCACCTTTTCCTCCAGAATGACTCGAGAATCATTGAGAGGAATCGTGTTGATCTTGGCTGGGTTACCCGATTCTTTGCCTGTTGCTTTCTTTTGCCATCTGCTGTCGGCGGTTGTACAGCAGCATTTTTTTGAGGGGAGAGGCAGAGTGTGCTACCACACCCAGTCCCTCCCTTTTCTTTTTCGACCCCTATTTTTTACTATGCGCCGCATCACATGCACGCGCAAGCATGCGTATGCTGTGTGTGTCGCACGTGCAGCCACGACGCGCACGTGATGCGCCGCAAGTATGGTTGAGAGAGAGAGAGAGTGAGAGAGAGAGAAACTTAGCTGGGCCATATTCCCCTGAATATTTACTTTTTTATTGTTTTTGTTTTTTGTCTCATACGTATGTGCTTTAAGGTATATGTGTATTCAGTTTCGCCGTGTTTGGACCACTAAACGAAAAAGTTTGCAAAAACACCGGACTCTAAGAAAGATTCGGCGAACTCCAAAAACGACTCCGGATAGGGTTTTATAGTGCTCTTGAATTTTTTTTATTTTATTTTTTTTTGCCTGTTCGTTTTTTTGATGTTTGTATTATGACCCTGCATAGTTTGTTCGCAAAAGTTTCGACAACATTGCTTGTAGTGATATGACAAAAAACTCCGAATTTCGGGCCTTCCATTAACCGTTAGTGTCAGACTGTCCTATTTCACGGAGTGTAGCTCCGATAGCAACTGATAAATGCTCGTTCGAGCAATGTATATGATGCCAAGGATCCGCAAAGTGATGAAAAGGATGCGAATGGACAATGCAGCGTCAGCAAAACATCAACAAGCAATGCACATCCAGATACATATGGAAATAGCACAATGTAGCGCAATGGAAGACTCGAAGATATGACCTGACCTGTCAGATACTGACACGACACCCCATCATACACCACACACGTCAGAGGGAGAGGAGGGACTGCATACATAGAGGAAAGGTCCCTCCTTGAGCATGCACATGACGAGATACCACGGATGAGGAGATGGGGGAGAGGCAAGACGAAGATGGAGAGGAGGGAGAAGACCAAGATCGTGATAGCGAAGTCCAAAAATAGTCTCCCCGCCGAATGTCCAATCAATGTCTGGCACAAAAATGTCGAATCAGATCCTGGGCTTCATAGTCCAATGTAACCTCTGCCTGTAAACTCTCTCTCTCTCTCTCTCTCTCTCTCTCTCTCTCTCTCTCTCTCTCTCTCTCTCTCTCTCTCTCTCTCT